CAAGCTCCACTTAATACTAGCGATAGCACGTATGTATACATATATATATATATATCCGTTTTGCACTCTAATTTGTTGCTGGCAAGAAAAATATATTAGTTAGCCAGTTTTGCCCCACTTTCCCCTAATTTATGGATCAGTGTTGTTGCATACCTACGTATCTCGAGAGATTCTTTAACTTGTTACTCTCACGTGTTTTGCATATTTCGTTATACACGGGCTAATTATCGTAACATTAAAACAAGTAGGATTCGTTTTATGGTCTTAACATCACGGATCACCTTTTAGAAAAGAACTTCCATACGCAGTAGAACTGATTCACAGTGTCCAATCGATCCACAGCTGTGGCTTCTACTGCACCGTAAGAACCATAGGTCCTTTTTCGATCGACAAAAGAACGCAAGAATCCCGTTTCCTACACTAAAAGCGTCAAGGTTTTCTAATAAATCCGTGGATATATGGGAACGGCGTCGAAAGTCGCGTGACCGATCGGCAACTGTTGAGAAAACTTCAAAAAGGATGGTCGATCGAGAAAGGAAGTTTTAATCTAGTTCCGAAGGGAAAGATCGAACGGCTACTTGGTCACACTCGATTAACATCGGTAATTACCAGGAGGAATTCTTTTTTTCAAGAGCAGCCCGAGGCGAGCAAACTTCACTGATACTTGGATATCGATCTTCGCTCGAAGATGGAAAAAAAAAACACGCCTCGATTCGTTCGATTCGCTTTCCATAGCGATCCACCCACTTAAACTACACACTGGGTGTCTCATTTGTAACGAACATTCGAATTATTTCTATTGCTTTAGAAAGTAAGAAAACTTAACCAAAGAAATTTATGGTAAAAAATAGTTCCACTTAGGTCATTCCAAGATCATTTTTCTTTCCACAGTGATCCACCCACTGAAACTACGCACAGGGTGTCTCATTTGTAACGAACATTCGAATTATTTCTATTGCTTTAGAAAGTAAGAAAATTTGACTAAAAGAGTTTGCGATAAAAAATATTTCCTCTGAAATCATTTCAAAATCATTTCTCATTCCATAGTGATCCACCCACTGAAACTACCTACAGGGTGTCTCATTTGTAACGAACATTGAAATTATTTCTATTACGTTCGAAAGTAAGAAACTTAACCAAAACAATTCACGATAAAAAATAGGTTAACCAAGATCATCTTCAAGATCATTCCACCATGATTTCTCTCTTATTTCATTATTTCTAAATTGGTCAGTCATTTAAAACTCATGTGGTCATAGGTCGTTGAACTCATCTCGACACTGGTTACAACTTGGAATTATTAAAAACAAATGTTAGTATGCAAAAAAATTTCGATGATTTTAGAATCATCATAATTTCAAAATGACATTCATTCTTCTTTTTACGATCACCAGACGCACATTTTCAAATTATACAAATTTCTCTTAATAATATTTCCTTCATTTTCAATAACAATGGAAATAATTTAGACGTTCGTTATAATTGAATCACCCTGTATAATGGCAAGAAGAGCGACACCCACTTTCTTGCTTATGCACGATATACACCGTCTTTATTCGTCACAAGGTTCTTACATGAAAAACACGGTGTAACGATCGAGTTAAACGACTCGGTTCTTCGTGTTGGATAAAAAAGACAGTGAGATTAATCTCGTTACCAGGCTGACAAATCGCCGGTGTTTGGTTCGCGTGAAAACTTTCACGATTTTTAGGTTAAGTTTTCTGGATGGAGATTATGGACTTTCGAATAGACTTTCAAGCTGTGAGATACAAAAGATGAAATTGTACGTATACGTACGTACGTACGAAGTGCAGCGGATAGGAAAGGAACAAGTCGGATTAAGTCATATTTTTCTGCTCAGTTATCTGTATTTGTCTCGTTCGTGTTGGAATTTTGAAAGTTGCGCGCTTGGAAAGTGAGAGGGGCTGATTTTGTTCTGTGTCGCTGAATCGCTATGATCCTGACGTATTTGTGGCGAATTCGAGGAATTTGGGAGATCAGGACACGTTTTTTCTTTTTTTTTGAAAATAATTCAAACGATTTTTAAATTAGTGGTAATTTTAATATTTTATGATTTTATAGGTTAGAATTTTACGAATTTTTGAAAAAATTGCGTTCCATATTTCTAGGTTTAAGATTTGTTTTATAATTAAACGTTTATTAGAATTAACCGTTTCTTTCGCATTCTTCGCGCAATCTGTGCCACGAGTTATTAGTAACCTTAAAAACCTTTATTTTCGATAAAAACTATAGGGCGAGAAATCAGCGCAGAATTAATTGGTTGCGTGATGGTTAAAATTCAGCTGATTGCTATGCAAAAAATAAAATTAAACAGGTGATTACCATTTAGAGAGACACAAAAATATGTTGATTCATATAACTGTTTTACCATTCGTCGTTTTAAATGGAAAGAAAATAGATCGAATTATTAAGTCCATTTGCAAAAAAGTGCGAATAACAGTAGAATATTTCTATATTTCCGCAAGGAATAAATATGACTAAATTTTTCTGAATATTTAGCTCTAAAATTTTCCTCTTACCATTAAACATTTATTTAGAAAGAATTTAAAAAAAAAAATGATGAATTTCTCGGAAAGAAATTTAAAAGATATTCAATTTTTATAACTGTTACAGTCTGGCCAAAAAAACCATCATAAAGTAACCGTGAAAATATAATAAAATGGAGGAAATGAGATAAATTTCGTTATCTCAGAGGAGTATAATGGTCACGTATTTCGTGAACAATTAACCTATTTCTTCCGCGATCTCTTTCTTCCGCCAGTGTCGGTCAGAAATCGTAACGAGAAAGTTTTATTTTGTACGTTGGCGAAATTGCTCACGAAGGAAGGTGAAATAATTATCTATTTGGGAATCGTTAATGTGCAGCGTTCGTGACATAACGAGATTCCTGGAAATAATGAATATTCGCGTATATGGTAATGCTAGATGGTCGAGGAGCGAGGTTTCGCTCCGGTAGCTGCCAATTTGTTCCACGAACACGTTCAAACCACTCGTCGATATTTCTGCGATGACAAATGTTTGCTTTTGTTGGAGGAAAAAGTGTGAAGTCCATTCATACTTCAAATGAAGAGGCAACGCATAATTTCTAAGGACTCGAGGAATCATACTGAATTCAGAGGAAAAGAGACAAAACTGTCCATATTTGTCTTCGTGCTTTTTTTTTGTCGAAAGCAAATATTCTTTATTCAGACAATTTTTTAAGTATTATTTTTTGTTTCCAATTTTTTATTTATGTCTCATACTTTTAATTTCTATATCGATTTTGAGAAAATAGTTTTTAAGTTGATAACTTTTCTTTGGAAATTTTTGTGCCACTTGTAATGCGTAGTAGTCCGAAACTTTTGGCGGGAAGTGTATATACAAGTATAAAGTAAAGGTAGATGTGAATGTTTTTAGTATTTATCGGTACAAAGTAAATTTTTGATTATTAATAACGATGATTTTTAAATTTTCACATCTTTTTCTGCTTGTGAAGTGCTAGTAGTTAAAACGTTTCTGAAAATTTGACACTTACGATGTGTGGTATGGAAGCCTCCCGTTAAAAATTCATCAACTTATCAAAAATATATACGTTTCAACTTTCTCGGTGAATGAATACATTCACTGTCTTCGTTCATAGAATACACACATTTTTTAAGAATCAATCTTATCTTTACATTTTTTTTCATCAGAGTGAGAAGATCAAATATTCGAGGTTAGGTAATGTTTTCCGCGAATGGCGTCGTTTTACGTTGCACCGAGGCCAGAGAGGCTGTTTATTGCGTGAAGGAGAGGGCAACGGGACACGAGAGTGGCCGATGAAAGAATCATTACACGTTGTTGCAGTATTTCACGTAAAAACAAGAAAAAGTAAGCTGTAACTGACAGGCTGGTTGGGTGAGCGCAGGGTGAAAGTGAATCTTTTTTTTCTTTTTTTGCTTTTTAGAAATCTTGGCAATCGATCTCACCGATGGCAAACTGTCAAGCCGATGCAACGTTGGTAAGACGTTTTATCTTGGCTCGAGGAAAGCAACTGAATGAGTAAATAGTCAAACACGGGTAAAAGGTAGTCAGTCACGGAGGATCGCGATCGTATACTTCATTACGACTGGTCGCATTTGTCTCTTTGCGCCTGAGTCCCTTTAAACTTGCCGCCTCCACTTAGTCAGCAGTGTAGCCTGTTTCGAAACGTCGAGAAAATTGTTTAACAACGTCAAATATTGCTTGTATAAATATTTTTCCAGTGACTCACGTGTATTTATTTCTTTGTGAAATTTGGTCTGAATTTTTGGAACGTGTGTTCGTTGTTAGTTTTTTTATGTGTTATTTAGTTCGAAGAAAGGTTATTTAGTATTCCACGAGCCGTATACACGCTTGATCAATAAATCAATCCAGTGGTTTCCAGGACATTCTTTTTACTCATTCTGTTTTTAAATGAGATTAAAGAATAAAACAAAAAGGAAGAAAAGAGTGAGGAAAATATTAACAAGTGTTCGATTTTTATTATAGTCCACATAATTTTCTAGACGTTTAAACTTCGAAGTGTGGTAATAACGAAATCATCTCTTATCGACCTACAACGTTATCTGGCGAAGGTATAAAAGAAACATTTTGCTGTTCATAAAATATACTTATAAATTCATGAAAAAATACAATTATACTTTATACATAAACTTAGGTATTATCTTAATTAGAACTCCATCTTTGTATCTGGAAAAATGAAAAGAAAGGATATGTACATATACATATAAATAAAATCTATCAAGCATAAAAAGTAAGTGAAGGCTCACCGCTTTCCTTAATTTTCTGCCCCTTTCTCTCGTTTTCTAAGTTCCATAAAAATTCTTGAAACATGCGGAGCGATTTATTGAGACTTGTTTTTTTGTAATCCTTTATTCTTTTCGCGTTTAAGTCGTGTGTCTCCTGTTCGGCCTTATCTTTCAGATCAAACTCGTTGATTTCCTCAATCAGCGTTGTAATCGTTGGAACTTTATCCGGCTGAAATTTGTCTACCGTATTTGCAGTGAATGGTATGCAAACTTTGCCAGTTTTCGGGTGAATGCAAAAGGGAGACTTTAGAAGATGGTTCAACCCTTTAGTGACATGTATATCTAACCTTGGATAGGCGTATTGTATCATTGCTTCCTCTACTAAATGGCGATAGAGATACCAATTTTTATCTCCCTAAAAAATTACGAATTTTATAACGAACTATCTTTTTTTTATCAATCATGATTAAAATTTTGAAAAAAATTATAGAATACCGATGTCTTTTTATTTCTAGCGTATTTGACAAACGTGTTCCATCTGTCTTTGCTGGAATTAGATTGATTAAATTGTGCCTTTAATTCTTGCTTATCCTCTTCATCAGAAATTAACTGCAAGAACTTTTCTAACCCTTCATCTGTTCCTAATATATTTTGTTCTTCTACAAAGTATGGAATGAAAACAGCTTCTATTGCTTCCAGTGCACGTCTAAAATTATTAAACATTTTTTTTTTAAACAAAAACCTTGAATATTCGAGTTAGTTTTGATTGATACAATTGTTACATACTTAATAGAATGGTGGATCTTATCACCAGGCAAATTCACCTTCTTTTTCATGTATTCTCCACCATCTATGATCTGTAAATATTCTGCCAGTGCACCACGTTCATGGGTTGTCAAGGAACGTGCACCAGGATCACAAACCCAACAATGTATGCCTCTCCTGCCAGAGAATACCCATAAAATGTGCTTGTATCCAAAGTCCACTGGAAAATTGAGCTTAAATTTAAAATACATAAATTCTGAGCAAGTGTTAAATATACTTACATCTTAAAGCAATGTCCAAAATTTTACAGGCAAGTGTCATAAATTTCCAACACTTGCTACAGATATCTGCACCATTACAACATGTTCTCACATCATCATAATCAGTCATATCTATGTCAAACACTAATTCTCTCTCCAGTGGATGAAAATTTGTACCTTTGCGTTGGTCCTTTGGACTGAAGAGAAAAAAGCTATAAAATTGTTGCATAAAAAATTATTTAACACTTACCTGCAATTGTATACAGCTCCTATATCAATCTTAAAGGGGTTTAATCTTTTTATCTCACTTTCCAAATCCTTCACACTTGTGAAGGATTGAAAGCGAATGTAGACATCATCCTGCAGAGTGAATGAAAATTCTCTGCGCGTAAATATGCCCACTGAAATAACAGTGTTAATTAAAAGTAATTCAGTTTGTCAATTGCGTGAATTAAGAAATTCTTGTTGACGATTCATCCGAAACAGTGATGTATTTGACGTACCATTCCCGTAGCTAAGCCAACGATAGTAATCGTGAAAGGGGAACAATCTCGCATAATAAGTTGGCAACAAGTCAGCGAGGTTCACCAAATCTTCCATTTTCCTTGCACTTTATTAAAAACTCGAACAGCATGAATTTTCTTAAAATATCATTATTTCAAACACTTTACTCTGGCTAGGTTGTGGCGGGAAAATGAAAATACCATGAAATAAAGACTCTAAAGACCCTGCTTCCTATTCTGCATGTGGCGCCATAACGATGGCCATAGACTATGCACCAAATGGCTCCAATTTTAAATCGTTTCTTTTCATTTTGAAATAAAAAAAAACACTGAATATTTCTTATGTTATAATACTTTTTAAAATTCATCTCAAAGAAATTATTCTTCTTTTTTGATTTTGAAAACTCTGGAAGGAAAATAAACGGTAAGCGCAACTATTCTGATCGTAACTTTTATTTCCTAATGTCGTTACACGTATACTGAATGAAAATTTAGTTGTCTAATACCTTCAACCCTTTTACACACGTGCAAAAATAGAATCGTTCTATTTTTGAATGAACATTACTGGTAGGAATGTATCGTTGAAAACTTATCTAAAATGAAAAATCATGGTCAGTGATTCGGTATCGACGACAATATTATGCATACAATTCTTTGGAAGAACGACAATAATCCCTAAACTGGGAATCTCACTGTTTCACGAAAGAAATAGCCTAGATTCTTGCGATTATTCTCATCAAATATAATCGCTAATTGTTCCATGTATACGCGCATGCGCAATTGCCTTCTTCCAGTGCTTCTCGTTGAAGAATTAAAAAAGTCCGTTAAACGTAAGTACGCACTATGAAACAGAAAAGTTCTCATCGTTTCGTGTGTATATTTTATTTACAAATCCGCCTCGAATACGCGTTTAACGTATACCGTCGTATATAAAGTAAAAATGATATTCGAATAAAATTGTCTAGCTTAACTAAAAAGAAGAAAAAAAGGAAAAGAAAAATAATAAAAACGTACAGAAACTGATTAAGATGAGGCTAGGAATATATGCGTGTCGAGTTTGAAGGAAGGAAGAACAAAAATAGAGAAAAAATTATGTCGGAACGTGAGTAAACGTATGATACAGTCTTCACTCCTGGTGTCTGTAACACTCAGTGTATTTTTTTTCTCTTTCTTTTTCTTTAAACCGTGTAAATACGTAATACCCGGCATAATGTACATACCATCGTTTTATCTGCACCATTTCTGCAAATTTTGTCGTGTGATATGACGTTTTTAAATTAATCGAGATTAACTACGCGCGATTTTAACCCCGGCACCTAAGAAACGTACGACGAAAACTTATCATTCGGATAATCGAATATATTACGCGTTAAAGGATGGAACATACGTACTACACACTTGTGTATAATATATGTGTACATATATATATAAACGAATTTTTCTTATCAACCAGTTATTCGAAATTATTCTTTACTATTATACTTCTGTTGAACAGCATCTCTCTCATGTACATTAGTACAGAATTAGAAATCGTACCTTGTAAATTTTAAAGGTGTCGTTTCGACAATTTATATAGTGACTATTTACAAATCTTTCTCGCACACGTACATACATGCATACACACTCACTCACTTCACTTACTCACACACTCACATCATGCATCACCAGCAACATCAATAATAACTGTAAAACTCTCGTAATAAATTCTCCTTATAAATAGATCAATCTTAAATATCGTTCGATCGATAAAAACTCTTGGAAAATTGCGTAGAAAGGATCGATAGTATATGGACGAAAAAACGGCGAAGGAAAAAGACCAAAAATTCGATCGATGAGTATAATAGCGTGGATGAATTACGGATGAATGTGCGAAGAAACTCACATGATCTATCGAGAAACTAGACCCTTAACAACTACGGACTCACGAATGAAGCTTTTACTTAACGGATCTCGTTTAGTCCCTAGGAAATGTTCACGCAGGAAAATTAATTAAAAATCTACGCGCCTTATCGCCTGTGCTTCTTCCATGGAGGAGCTTATTTAACATTAGAAGAACCAGTCGAGTCAAAAAGGAAAGAAAGTGAATTTTTGATACCGATTATTATAACTTTCTTTTGTTTTCTGCACTACTGGAAAGTTGCTGATGGTTCATTTTCACTTGGCTGGTTCTTATAGCGTTCATTCCATCTACCATTTAACCCTTTACGATCTCCACACACAGATTATCATCTTGAAACAACTATGGACGATATCTCTGAATAATTCTAGAAGTTTCAACAATAATTCGTGGTAAATAATAATACCACTTTTGTTTCTAGCCCCCCACAATCAAAATTAAGGTCCTTCTACTATTCAAAGAAACTGTGATGCTTTTTCTTCACAGTCTTCAGTTCTTCCATCGATCCGTAAATGGATTAACGAAACTCCAACCCTTTACAATCTTCGCACCAGGGCAATATTTCTAAATAATTCTCGAACGTTCAACAATAATTCGTGGTAAATAAAAATACCACTTCATCTCTAGCCTCCTATAATTAATATTAAGGTATCCAGCTACCTTTCTAAATCCTCTCATTAATCAAAGAGAAACCATGAATCATATTGTTCACGATCCCCAGTTCTCTCATCGATCGTAAAGGGTTACGAAAGAAAGAACAATAGAAAAATACAGCACGTTCTCTCCTCTAATCCGATCTATTGCTCTTGAGGCACCTTTAACAGCACAGTTCTCGTGCCTTCTGCATCTGAAATGTTGATCTTCAGCTCGTTGGTCAATGCTTCGAGCTTGTCCACCACTTTGGTGTTTTTTTGCCCACCAGGATTCGGTGGTGGCCAAACGTCGTCTAACGGTGGCTCGATGTACTTTCTGCTCGGTTTCATTATATCCTCTCTTCCACAGAGCGTTCCTCCAACGTGATCTGAAGACGAGACGCATTTAGGTGCCGGTTCGATGTCCATGCGAGGACGTTTGTAGAGAGGCGGTTGGATCGCTGGGCTGTAATCGTGATCCAGGAGACCCTCCACCTCCTGCAGCAATTCCTCGCTGTATTGTTGCAGCTCCTCGTCCATCAGTTGTTTCGTATAGAGCAGCGTTCGTGAACCCTAACCTGCTTTACTTTTTCTTAAGAATTTTCTATTTATCCTAATTTAAATTATCTTTTTCAAAGAATTTTTTATTTACCTATCGATTGTCTCGTCTGAAGTTAATACTAAATTGAGATCCATTTATCATTCTATATTTTTCCTCAAAAATTTTATTATTCCGTCTGAGAAATTGCAAACAAAAAATCGTCAAAGTTCTGTGGAACCTACGACCAGCGAATTTTGTGTACGCATGTTTTCGTAACTCGATTATCATATTTACATAGTGCTCGTTATCATTCGTGCAAAGTAATTATCTTAGATAAAAGCTTGCGACGCGTTTCATCGTGACCACTGCATCCACTATTTGGTTTAGTCAGCTTGGTTATAGCTGGTTTCGTAATCGACACGAGGAAAGTGATTACGAAGCTGTTCACGTACACTCGAGCGGTCCTAAGGTACTGAACTTTGAATATTAATGAAGTTCAATGACATTCATAGGGTGACACTTTAATACGAAACCATGAAGAAAGATTATGTCAAAGGGAACACTGAGAAATTTACGATATGAAATTTTAGGTTAGGTACAAATAAATAATCTGTTTTTCTTTCAAATTTATTATTTATAATAAAGGTTAAAAAATAATTCTCTTCGTTCTCTAGCATTTTCTCTCGTATGTCAGATTTCTAAAGAAAAATTAGAATTTCTTTTGGAAGTAATTTATTTCAGTTTTTAAGCTCACTTTGTTCGAACATCTTTGAATATTAAGAGAGAGAGAGAGAGGACAGGGTGAATGGATGAGCCGAGAAAGTATTCGAAAGAAGGTTACAGTTCGACGAAAAGGATCGAGAAAGGATCGAGAAAGGATCGAAGCTTTCTTGTCCTCGTTTAGAAAGTAGCTGAGCAACTTCTCGATCTCGTAGCCTGCTGCTCCGGTTTCACCATACGCCGGTGTTAATATCGATCCCATACCTATCGATTTCGAAACATCGTGTTTGTCTCTTTTATCATGATTTATCATCGATTTCTGATAAACCATCTGCTACATCGTAAACGTTCTTTTTCAACTAACTATGTCGATAAAATCGATCGAATTAATTCAATAGAGTATAATTTGAAAATATTAAAGCATTTGGGACCAACCTAACCTATTTTGCTTGTACTAATATAAATATATTAACCTTAAATTTATTTATTGTTTTCGAGTTAGTTTAAACGATTACTGAGTATACTGATAATTTTTATTCATAAGTATATAGTATTACGATAAACTTAAAAAATGAAAATTTATTCGATATGTTTCCATATGAGTCTGAGTTTAATTTAAAGGATTACCGACACGTTCTCAAATGTGCTAAAATAGTCGAACGAGACTGAAAAGTTGCTAGCACGTCAACTTGCCGCGTTGTAGAATTGAAACTGAATTTGTTTCGTAATCTGAAATACCGCTGATAGTGTATCGTTTCGAGTCACAACCATGCACAGTGGAATTTGCTGTTCAAACATTCGACAATGTAGCAAATTTATCAATAAAACATGAGTTAAAGAACGAGTAACACGAGTTGGAAAATATGATGAAACAATATGTGGCGTATGGAAAAAATTCTAGAATAAAAAATATTTCATGAAATCTACGTAAGAAAAAAATATACAACTGCAACTGTAAAATGTATAATACATTATTGCATTTGTGAAAAAAATATGATCCTGAAAATACAGTCATTTTTGAATCGTCCATTTTTTTCTAATTTCAATCAGAAAAGAAATTCGATTCGTTTCAGTCAAATCGATCACCCTGTATGTAGATAGATGTAGAAAAGATGGAGTGTGAAAATTGAATGGACCTTAGATTGCACTGAATTCGAAGACATATCAGGATTACCAGTCGATGATTGCGTAAAGTATTCACCTAAGGTTACCTAATCGTATCTGGAGATAATGAGTATGTACTCGTTATACGCGTCTGCTGTCTTGTCCAACGGTCTTTTATATAAGTATATCCAGACTACCAATACAATAATAATACTAATATAAATATTCACTTATCAATTCTCGATCGACGACGTAACAGTTTAAAGGCTTCTCCACAACTAGTTTAAACGATAATGTTAAAAATATCCAGCGAAATATCCTTGAAAATTAACAACATTAACACGTTCACTGCCCGCTGAATCATATACGCAAAAAAGGTTATGTCTGAAGTTACGGAGAAAAAGTAAACAGAGTCCAAAGATTGAAATTTTTCCGGAGAAAGCAAATAAAGTTTAAAATGCTAAAGAAAAAATATTTTTGTGCTTCTTTCTCAGTGAAAATGTAATATTTTTGAAACGTTTATTTAACTCTTGCTGTTTTCTTTTGAAACGCTGTTTTGTCATTTCTTTCTTTGGTTAGGTTAGGTTAACTTTGTACTCGTGTACACGTGTTAATTTTCGTTCGTTTCTACTTTCGATTCGTTACTGTTTATTTTATTTTCCAGCGAGTTTTAACGTGCAGCCGTAATAAGAATGTGGAGAAAAAGAAATGAAAAAAATAGCGGTTGCCTGGTTCTTTCATTTTTCACGTCAGTATGAAAAAAACCAGTGGAGCATACAGGAGGCCAAGATGCAACAAACCGCAGCACGTGAAAGCAACGAACGCGAAGAGCAGAGAAAAAATATTTAACAGGGCTGTGCCTTTCACAATCCCATGAGGTTCAATGTTCGCGCTATCAAACCCATCCAACCCGTGTAACCGCTAATATAACGGTCCCGAAAAGGTTCGACAGACGCGCCTCTGCTTGTCACACCGACTCTTTCGTTTCTTTACTACGTGACCGCTGGACTTGATACGAAAACGAGCAAACAAACGTAATGCGAAACAATATTGAAACGGAAATGTGATGATATGTCAAATTCGCAGTGGAAAGTTTCAATTTCTCATGTGACTTCTGATAAACTTTCCAGGACAATATTTCCTCAGACTTGCAGAATTTCTTAAGATCTTTAGATATGGAATTTGGGGATATCCTCTGAAAGAGTTTTCAGTGGATATTATTTTCCCAAATTTGCAAATTTTTCAAGATCCCTAAGCATAAAATTTAGGATTATCCTTTAATAGAACTTTCAAATCTCTAAGCATCAAAATTGAACAATTTCTGAAAGAATTATCACCTCTAAAAGAAATTCAAAACCAAGATCCATAAAGTATCTCTTAAACTCTACACCATCCAATATCTTTCCTAATTTATTTACTAAACATTCTAGAGTATCTCAGTTAATAAAACTGAGATCTACATAATCTGAATTAAATTCCCTGAATTTCCAGATTCGCCATAAAAATTTCCAAATAAGAAAGCTTCCACTCACCGGCCAATGGTGGCATCTTCTCAGGCTGTTCCTGTTCCTGTGTCAGTTCATTATTGGAATTCGAATGTGGTCGTAGATTGGGAACAGCGACGAGAGCCAACGAAAGTAACAAGACCATCAGACAAGTAGCAGGCTGTGCACTTTTGTTGCCCTTTTGCAACAAAGCCTGCAGCCTCTTCAACTGTCCAGCTAAACTCTGATTCTGCGACTGCAGGGCCTTGATGCGTTTCAGTAACGTCATATTTTCTTCATTGCACTGCTTCACACGATCCTCCAATCCGTCCACGTACTCCTTTTTTCTCTTCCTCGAATCCTGAGCAGAGATTTTGTTACGAATCTTACGCCTGATCCTTTTCAGTTCACGTTCTTCGTGTTTCGTCAGGGGATAATGAGTGGGTAGAGTGATTCCCTCTTTCTGAAGCAGACGCTTCTCTTCAGCGTTCAATTTTAATCTCGGATAAGGAGAATCTGTTTCTGAGACTTCGTCGCTCGAGTTGCAACCCTTCTCGCTGCTGGAATCCTCTTGTTTGATGGTCATCTGTGGATCAGAAAGGGAAAACTAGTGTAATTATACATAGAAAGTTTCACCTCGATGAAAGTACAGTTAAAGTCGATTAAACGGAAAGCGAAGGCTTTCGATTTTTTCACCAAGTGAGAATTCTGTGCGATTGAAAGGCAGTTAAGCAGTAGTGTGAATGAAATGTTATTTTTAGGTATTTATTCAACTTTTAAAGGGTTAAAAATCACTTGAAAATAGGAAACAAGTTTAACCCTTTCACGACTAAATAATATTTTAGTACTCAAGTGGAACTCAAAGGGTAAAAAAAAACATATATAATAGATTTAAAAAATTAGATCTGTAATTGCTCTTTTTTAACCCATTAAAGCCCAAATTATTTTTCTCTTTTTTCATATTTAATGTTTGGTAACCTGGAGACGAAACGAATTGAGAACTATCAATAATCTTAAAAAATGACTCATAAAACTTTGCTTTATTTTATCAGATACAATGTTAATCACTATTAAATCAGTGGATATGAAATTTCATAGCGTAATTTACCTGAACTGGCTTATTGATGATATTAGCCTGATTGATTTTGAACCCTTTCAAATTTCTTGCCTGCGACGCATTGATAATCTTGATGGTTCGAACCTCTTTCATATCTTTCAGGCTAACCGGCAATAGTATCGACCTTGGATTACCAGATCCCATCGGTGTGACACGTATTAATTGTCTGATATTTCGTTTCCCATTGCACGTGATGTTACGAACGTTTATCGTGTTTGTCTCTTGGGCAGCGACGTGAATTTGTTGCTGTTTCAACGTTTTCTCTGAAAAAGGGGGGGAAATAAATCGTTCGTGTTTATATTGCTGTTTATTGCTCGAACAGGATTTTATCGAGTCTAGAAAGTTGTCTTTTACTCTCTAATGAAACAACGCGTTATCGTGCGGCCATGTTTTTTTTTTCACCGCTTATTATCTTGCTAACCTTGTCTTCCTCAAATAGATATTATCTGCTTATATTTAGTTTCGATGATGGAATTGTATATACATGTACATATCGACATCTGCTCAAATTACATTTCTAAACGGGGGATCGCTGAACTTTAGCTTTCGCGAAGGGAAGGTTTCGTCATTTCACCGCGAACAATAACCATGACGCGTTTTATGACACACATTCCGTTCAAATTCTCGCGTCACTTGTCTTTTGCTATTCTTGAGATCAGATGCAATCATTCGTTGACTTCGTTTGACCAGAATCAATGTGATTACTGAGAATTCAGTAATAAAAAAACGTTATTTTTAATTATTCGAATATTCGAATACCGGTAGAATTTGAATTTTACTTGTAATTGTTGAACTATTCGAGTGATTCGGATAATTTGAAAATTTGAAGTGTTTGAGTTCCGGATTGTGGCAAATATTTGGTAAATATCGAATATTTCGAATATCAATGGAATTCGAATTTCAATTTCGAATTGTTGAATTATTGGGATATTCGAAGTATTTGAATTCCGGATTGCGCCAAATATTTCGTAAATTTCGAATATTCGAATAACTCGGATAATTCAAATATTCGAAATATTTGAATTCCGGATTGTGTCGAATATTTCGAATATTCGAATACCAGTAGAATTCGAATTTCAACCATTTCAATAGATGAACTATTCAAATAATTCAGATAATTCGAAAATTCAAAGTGTCTGAATTTCATTTCGAAAATTTGGATTTTTCTAACAACCCTAGATCGAATCCTTTTTTTTTTACCACCCTGTATATTTTATGATTTCTTATTATTTTTTTCTCTTTTCTTTCGTAAGCATCAGTAACACGAATCATTTTACTTCGTACACGTAATAAAAAACAAAAGAAAAAAGAAAGAGAAAAATTACTAAATCTACCCTCGAATAATTTCACCCAACATTCAAACACGAAAAATCACTGCTTACCCAAATCGACAACCGGTTGCTCCGCAACAATGGCCGCATTAGCATCAGCCAAGGTATTATTCGGGTTCACAACAGCAACGAGTGTCTGCTCCACATCCATCTCTTCAGCAACATCCGTAACAGGTGAACCAATATTCGAGCTAACCACCGATCTAACAGGACTATCCACGCTGGCCATCGATTGATTAGGACTACCAAGTGAATCGAAGTCCATGATATTCTGTGGACTGCTCATCTCAGAGTTGCTAATTTCCACCTGATCCTCTTCGATCGGTAACAATGGACTCAGCTGTTGTTCACATGACAAACTCAACGCACTAGAAAGTCCACTATCCGAGGAGGACGATGGAATTGCATCGAGATCATCGACAATCAGGTTGAATTGATTATCCTCCAGCTTGAAAATCGAGTCCAGGAAATCGTCTGGATTGGTCGGCCATTCTTCCCCCTTGAACATAAAGCAAGGTGGAATTTTTTATTTTCGTCGTACTTCAGACGTTTTAACACCTTACAAGTTGTAGCTGAAATTTGAAACGAAGTTTGATATTGATATTGAAGTAATTATAATATTGAATTCTCGACGCTTTGATCTTCCTTTCATGAACAATAAGTGTTACCAACTTAACAGAAAAAAGTTACTTCCTCGATTGATCAAGATTTGAAATTCTTCAGTCGTGTTGTATTCTGAAAAATCGTCTGGGAACTTTTTCTCGGTGATTTTTTTAAACAAATATTTTTGGAATATTAAATTTTGCCAAATAAAACTTTTTAAAAATAAATTTTCTAAATAAAAATGATATTAGTTTTGATCCCTATTTTTGGCCATTCAGCCTACACAAGAAGATCGTTTGTTATTGAACGTCAGGATTTTGTTTAGCGTAACACACGAGGGAATCGAGAACGTGATCGAGTTTATTTTGCGTGGTACTTTTACTCAAGCATCGTTTCTGCTTGCGAATTCGCGCATGGCGTCCCATTTAGATCAGATTATTGACCCGTTGGATGGATCAGAGCTGGCCAAAGCTTCGATGAAAATAACAGGCTCTGAGGTAGCTAGGCGTTCCACTTAGATATCTGGCTGAAAGTTAGCCTAATCAGTTTAGCGAAGCTTGAAAAATAGCCGGGGAGGTTGTCGCGTGAATTAAGCGTTTGGCCAATGCCGGAATAACCTAGTTTTCAAGCAGAAGAGGATTGATAAATATAGTCAAGTGGCATGAAATGGCTCGTTTCCATGGATTTTGCGATTCTACTTTATTATCAAACGATGAGAAGTGAATTTGAAAAATTACGATAAGTAAAGGGGGATCGATAGGTTTTGTCGTAAACATGTTGTGCGTGCGAGTAACGTGTAAAGAAATGGTGAAGTAGAAATAAGAATATTTTAACATTTGGTTGAGTCACGAATAAATGCCGGTTTTTCTACGTACTAATTTCACACTGTATTACCGTTTGTACAATGTACTTTTTATTCATCTGTCCAAATACTAATTCTCATTGTTTAGATAAAGATGTCACTAGTCACTCGTTCGATGCATTCTTCGTTATTTCTGCGAGGTTAAGTTATTAGTGTCAATGAAAATGAATATCTCATGCATACAGTGCTATAGGAGTTTAGAAAAGGTAAGTACCGCGTTTACAAAATACGATAGCGAAGTTTTAAACGTTAGAAAATGTCAGCTTTGTTGAATTATTTATGTTAAAAGGGTACTGAAAATCATTTTTTGTTCTATTTTGCATTGAAATGAATTGAAATGAACGTGTTGCTCGCTTAATTTTTATTAACGATACATGGTAAAGATATATGTAAATATTGATAACGTTTAGATTGTTGCATTTTACTTTATTTCATCAATTTTACAAGACACGCGAAACATCGTTTTCTCCATTACAGTTTGCAAGGACTAAAAATAAGCGTGTGCTGACGTAAGATGCTCCTGTGTTTATCCAACCGCACAGTTTCCTTTTCGTGGAGGAAATTCATGGAATAAAAAGAATTACCGAGGCTTATGTAGATTATGGTCAAGATGTTATGGTAGAAAAATTGCATTTCTATAGGTCGGTTTATAAGTCGCTTTATTCGTTTAAAAATTGAATTTTTTTTATTACGCTTTCAAAAAAGTTCAAATCCTATGGGGCCACACTGTCTTATAAAATATAAATAAATAGATACGTAATTTCTGTCACAAAAAAATTTTTTTTAGGAATTTTTTATTCACATTTCATTACTTTCGTTCGTTAATACAAAAGGTTATTACAGAGATGCAAGAACACTTGAGTAATTGGATCGATTGTTTCCCACGAAAATAAAGGTCAGAATTTTTGAGACTATTCAGAAGGAGTCCCGTAACGTAACGGTACCTCTCGTTCGAAGGTCACTCGCCATGATGAGTAGCTTCGCATTCACGTTCTAATTCCATGCATAAGTACCTCTCTACCTCTACTACAAAAGAACCTCGTAAATTAGTCGAGGTATAACAACTATTTACGCAAATTTAGCGATAAGTGCAGAAAGTATCGCGTTAACGAGACTCTAAGTCGTCGTTTAAATCGTTCATTCATCAGCCTTCACGATAACCCTCTGTGGGCAGAAGTTTAATCGTTACAACTGATTGTAAAGGCAGGATACAAAATAAAACGTTTATTAGCGAGGCGACAGAACTTCCAATATGGCGGCGCCGCATTAGCACGTGCATCAAAGCATTCCATATGTTACAAAAAGTCTAGGACGATTATATAATAATAACAATATCACGTATCACTATTTTAAAAATTTTTTTAACTTAAAAAAAGCAGGAGAAAAACTTATGCAACGTCAATCGACAATTAACCATAAATACAAATTAATCGAGTATCGATTAAATATTTTTTTCCAATAATTGCATAATGTCCCATCAGTTCTATTTGTATCCACGATAAATTATCTCTGGATAAAACGATAAAGAAAACCGATCCGTCAGATACGAAGCGACAAGTACACAATGCGGGACGGCACGTGGGTAGAGTACACCATATGTTAACAGGAATTAACCGCGAGCGAATAACGGGTGGGCCTGTTTTCATTTATCCACCGCGACAATAAACACTCGGTGCATCAAACTTGGCCGACGCATCGCGCTTTGTGCTGCACCGGTTGCTGGCTAGTTGAACGTAATTGAATATGATCGTTAGCAATGAAAGCAAGGGATACAGTGGAGATCGTCTCGTTAGTCGTACTGGGGAATTGAAGACGCGATGAAAGTGGCACAGTGGTGAAATGTACCATTACTTTTCGCGTGCAGAGCGTGTCGAGTCTGTTATCCCGTCTCTGAACGGAATCTTGCGCATTTTGTCCGCAGTTTGATGCAAAAAGATCGAAGATTCCGATGGCTTAACCAAGTCGTTCTGAATGTTTTCACAGCTCTCTCTCTCTAAGCCGGTCACCGCATATTCTCAATATTCACAGACGGAACATTGCGTAAAGCGCGAGTCGATGTTTGAAAAGGTTTCGCCAGCCTTGGGAATTATTCTCCTGTATTAGCATTCTCGATAACAGGCGACCCGATACACTCGAGTATCTTCCAACGGGAAGCCCGACGAATTTGCTCCAAAACAGATACTGGTATCTTCCTACCAGACGTCTGGCTTTTCATTACATAAAGGAAATCTATTTTCGAGCTTTGAAAGTTCCGGGAATTCCGCGTTAAGAATCATCCATATCGGGTGTCCCATCCGTGTACACACATGCGTAATGTACCAAGGAACTGGTTTTCACTCGAAGTCAGGGGAAAAAAGTGGGGGACGGCGTGTATCGTTAAGGGAGAAAAAGTATAAGAAAGTTAGCTCTCGATAAAGATAAAGGCGTATACACGAAATGACTCACCGCGATGGCGTCGTCGTTGTAACTCTGATCTATGAAAGGCTCGTCCTTAACGTCGCCTTTTAGGAACGCGTCTTCCCGCGGGAATAGGAAGTCCATCAGATTCATGTCTGACGACATGTCTCGAACACACTTTGCCAATTATACGCGCGTATAAACGTATACTATGTCTATATAGACACACCGTCGTAACAACCACTTAGGCTTCCATGTAAGAAAAAGAAAAGAAAAACACTACGTTCGTGCACTGCACCAACGTCGCACCTCAACACGATACAGCACACCAGCCGACTAACGAAGCAAAAGAGCCCGTCACGGCCAGACGGACGGACGTGCTCGCCTCCTCGCCCCACCCTGTGCTTCCACTCTTTGAGAGAGAGAGACCGGTTTTGCCCAAGTTAACTCTACTTGCTGCACTCTCTTCACTTGGCCATTTTTCTGGCCGTCCACTGTGGACCACTCTATCTAGCACAATACGCTCTCCATGCGAGCGTATCGAGAAATTCGCGTACGCTCTGCCCACCAGTACTGCGTGTAACTGTTTGTTTTCTCTCGAGGATACCGCGAATGCTCGATCCTCGCCACAACTATTGTCAATTGAACTGCCAACGTGGCATAAAGTACGTCACGCGGGCGCAAGACCTGATCTAGAGGATGGGATTGGCTGCAGGGGATTTACGCGAACGATAGATCGAATCGAAATTCCCGGCGTCAGGGTTCAATTGTAATTTAAAACTTGATGAAATAATAGCAGCTTCTCTTTCATACGAGATTTTCATGATACTTGAAAGATCATCCTAAGAATTGTCGAGGATACGCCTCTGAGAAGATTTTAAGGAAGAATTGCGCGGTAATATTTTGGGACATTTGAAAAGATGCGCAGAATATCGTAACTTTGTTGTCTGGCCATGATGTTGCATCAGACTGTAATCGATTTAGGCATCGAAACGTGAACGACGTATTTTGCATGGGCCGCTGAGTCATGAATTGGAATTGGTAAAGTGTTCTTCGTCGTAATTTCTGAGACTGGATTTTTAATGTACTTTTTCTTTTAACAATGATTTTATACTACGTTCAATGTTTGGGAGTATCGACTGAGGAAAGTGCAGGGATTGGAATGCAAGGTGGAATCTTGATCCCCGTGAGGCGTCATAAAAAAACATCAGGTCATTGTCCCTTTTTCTTTTCCTTTTTTTCTGTAAGGGTAGTCAGGTATTGGGTTTAGGACTTGAAACCAGGTCATTGGGTTTAGGATTTCTGTAACGCATTAAATATCCCATAAAAGTCATTGTACATTTAAACGAGTTGTATAATTTGAAATGTAAACGTACTTCAACGAACTGATAATAAAAGAGTCCCACTGCTATGAGAAGTCCTATGAGTGTCACGAAACTCCATCCTCTCCACGCTAAGAAAGGAGTGGATACGATCGCTCGTCTCGCACAGACGCCCATTCTCCGTTAATTTTGAACGTTCTGTCTAACTTTCCGATGAAATTAAAATTACTACAAAACGTAATGATATATTGCATATCATGATTTTTAAAATTTCGTAAATTTTGAATTAACCGAAGGGAAATAATGCTCGCGTTAGGGGATACACTTGAATGAAAACATGTTTCGTGAATATTTTTGGTTAAAAAGCACGAGAAATGTATTCGATAAACAGCGGACGGCTGCTTAGCGATTTGACATTTATAAAAATCTTCGTATCGATCGGTCCTTTCGATGAACCGAATCAAACCGTCTTGAGTAATTTCTACCAGTTATATACACCATGGCGCTGATCATGGCGGCTGTGGAAAGGTTACGATTCGAAAATGAATTAGAAATATGCCAGTTATAGTAGTTTATTAATGAATTAAAATTTTCTGAAATGAGGTAGGTTCCAATTGACAAGTGCGAAATTCATTTTATTTTAGTATTCTTAATTGAGCATAGATTATTTTATCTCGTACATATTTCTAAGGTTATATATTGAGTTATTAAAAGCACTTTGTATACATACATGTTAATTAACGGATTAGCAATTCCGGTGACAGAGACGATTAAAAATGTTACAGACGTTACTTAAATAGGAGAAATTATGTGTAATCTCCTAACATCAGCTATGGAGACTAAAGTAACTAGCAAGACCAGCAGTTTGAAAGCTCTTTTGTTAAGGGCATGGAGGGAACGTTGGAGTGATTTACAATGGGGTATTAATATTAAAACAGTAAGTAGTGCTATTGATGCAGGAACATCTAATGTCTATACTACAAAGAAACTATCTGTACATTGTACTTTTTTCATTTAGATTTTACCACGAGGTGTTAGTGGAGATGTATATAATTTAGCAGACTGTATATTACAGCAAGCATTAGTAGGACTTGGCCCAAATCAATTAGTATTGTCATACTTGAAACACTCTTTGAGTTCTCAGGTATGTATTACTTATTATTTGTTTAGTAATCTTTTATTAGTATAAATATATTTTTAGTTGGTCTCTTATGCTGCTGTCTTACAACGAATAAGCAAATATGATGCCTTTCATAAACCCCACTGTATCCTAAGTTTACTAGAATTCTTAGAATCCATTCAAGTAGGCATTACTTGCCGTGGTAAACCTGAGGAAGATCTCTTGGCAGCTGCAGTATTGTCAATTGTGCACTGGTTGCTACAGTGTTATCTACACACATTAACTAAAATGCCCCAGAACAGTCCATTGACTCCTCAACCAACAGAGTTGATGGATAAACCAGCCAGTATATTGAAACAGATGCTCAGTTCCAATTTTCTCTGTGCTATGATGTACTTAGCCAAATATGATGACAAAGATTTGTATATAGAAGTTGTGAAGAAGTGTCAAGAAATTGAAGCACTATTGAAGACCAGTAGTTTAAAGTCCTCTGTTCCTATAGAGGAATCCCTGAAGAAACTGTGCAATTTGGAGGTGGATTGTCTGGCTCTCTCTCCAGAGATGACACAAATGGAATCAATAACTCACTGCTTGCAGCCATTGTTCGCTGTTCAAGTGTTATTAAACCCTAGCACGGAAACGTCCGTGTTCGTCAATCAGATGCTGATGGTCCAAAGACTTAAGAATTATACCAACGCGAGACTGTATTGCGAGATAATTCGCGCGTGTTTAATGTGTCTGCATAACGTTACGAACACGTTCAAAGAGTCACAATGGGGTGCATTCACGTTTCTAAAAGTGCCCCTTATTTTAAAAGAGTTACACGTTGCACATTCGAACGGGGATGACAAACCATGCGAATATTCCCAAGACATTCTGGACTCTTTCGAACTGTTACTTCAATTCACTCCCCTCCTCGACATAATGGACACCGCGTGTTCTTGTAACAGTGTAGAGTGTTTGTTGAACGCTTTGCAAAAGGTAAATTTAGTCACGGAGAAACAGGCGAAACAATTGAGCAGCAGGAGAGATGGTATAGCTGCAACACTGCAGAAATTAGAGCCTTCCACGACCACGCCTTCCATTCCAAAAGTGATCGTACGCGCCGAGCCCACTTTGTCCGGAATTTTGAAAACACTGAACGCCGATTACATAAAGATTCACGAGGCGTTGCTGAGCATGCTGTATCAGGTTCTAACCGGGAAGAGTTTCGAGTTAATAATGGCCGTGGCCACCGTCGAGGGCAAGCTGAAAACCTTCGTTACCAAATTGATTAAGTTCAACGAGTGCAGCAAGCAGGTGAACGAGCCGGTCCCACCAAAGACAGCAGCGACTAGGGGCATGTTGTTCGACGTATCATTCCTAATGCTGTGTTCCATAGTGCAAACCTATGGGTCTGATGTATGTTCACAAAATATCCTAGTATAATAATTAATTTACCCCCTGTTCATAAATTCTTAAATAATATTTTTTCAGGCTGTTTTAGAAGAAGGAGGAGGAGACTCGTTCTTCGAGCAATGGGTGCGTGAGTGTATGCCTGAGAGAAATCAGCCGAAATCACCTCAAAAAATGTTGCAAAATATCGACCCGGCAAGGGTGGATGCACTGTTGGCGCAAATCAATTCTCCGGACCCTGATTTCAAATCCAGTAACATTAAATGGCACATCGCGTGTCAGTCAGCCATGGGTGCTGTGAAAGAGTTGCTTTGTGCGTGGGAGAGTGACGTTCTTGGGGCCAGCGATGTGAAAAGAGCCTTGGACGGTCTGCGTGCGACTACTTGCTGTTTGCCAGTCTGTGCTGCAGCTTGGCTTTGTGCATACATGAGCATTACTCATCAGGATGCTCTATTGAAGCCTATGAACATGGTTCAGCATTTCTTGACACCTCTTCCTGGGGACGAGATGCAGGACAATTTGAAGGAACGGTTGGTTTGCTAATAAAAAAGTAAAAAAATATTGCCGGAATATCTTTGCTAGATGGTCAGACTATTTTAATTGTTTTTAGTTCGAGTTTGATGTCTCAGATTATTCGTAAGATGCAGTACGATGTTCATCCTCCTACTCAGTCGAAAACAAAGGTTCTTTCCATGTCCCACAGGTATTACATTGGATTTTCATTAAAATTCTATTAAGTTTGTGTTATGTGCTTCTTTTATTTTTTACTTTTACATTTTTCATAGCATCATATCGAGACAACCAATATTAGAGCAACTAGAGACCGTGTGGAGAAACATCAATCAACGAGGGTGGATCGATTTCCAAGCGACTCAATCTTTGGAGTCTTTGTTAAGCACCGGTGGTTCCTTGTGGTTCGTCACGAATATAGTGAAGGAGGTGTTGAAGTATCGTTACCAGGAGGAGCTGGATCAAGCGGTAGATCTAGCATTCGCCATTTTCCATCTCGACATTGAGAACTGTACCTTAGATCTCATCAACCATATCATTCCACAATATTTATACAACTCATTACAGTACGTTTCCCTTAAATTAGAAAAAGAATTATTTAAGAGCTCGTGCTTAACTAGAAAACAAATTCTTTCCAGAAGTGAAGAGCTCGTAGAACCACAGTCCTCAGTGTTAGCCAAGTTGTGCGTGTACTGTACATTTTCCACGTTAGAGTACAACAATTCCAATCCAAGTCGTGGGAATAACAGAAAACGAGTGCGTCGAGATTTGGACGCGGACGAACTAGATGCACTTGGAGTTCCAAACAAAATTCTGCGATTGAACGAAGCAGGAGACTCTAATCCAATATTTGGCTCTCAGAGTCCGCAAGCACAAGGATCGACCAATGGACAGAAATCTGTCGTCTTGAGAGATCCTCTTTTGTCAGCTTTAAACGGTTTATTCACGATATTCACGTTTCTGGCTGGCAGAGATGGCGAAGTGTCACAACAGACTCATTTTATACTACAGTTTCTACGTTTGATGGTGCAATGCGGCAAAGACAGGACCCGTATCGTCTTACAAGGGATGCCACAGACATTGGTGGGTATTTACTTCACTTATATTTTCAGTGTTCATCAGAATAGAGAAAGTATTTTTATTGTTTCTTTGTTGTTCATTCAAGGTGCCCTGCCTTTTGAAAGCACTACCAGAATTATTCACGACTGATATTCTATTGAGATTCTACGACATACAGACAGCAGCTGGACGAAAAGCTACGGCGCGTGACTTGTGCATGCTGAGGAATATCAATCTGAAGCCCACCAAGTGAATTTTTCGATTTTATAGGACGAATTAAATACGAACAATAGTGAGACGTCATTTGTATAATTATTTTCAAATACACGAATTTAGTACGAACGCTTTGCTGTCTTCACTGTCATTTGGATTCTCGCAAAGGGTGGAAGAAAAAAGTAGGCACGCAAATTTGAGAAAAGGTAATCGGATGTTTTATTTCTCTTTTTAGTTTTCCCTTCTTTAGATTTATAAACACTTTTTCCTTGACAAATCGCTATAAATAACTCTTACGTTTAAAAGTAGTATGTACAATAAATGATACAGGCGAAGATATCCTCGGTTACGAGGGAGTTTTTACACGATATAAACATGTGTGTGTGTGTGTGTCTCACGAAAGGATCGATCGTGAATCTTGAATAATCCCTCGCGTTTCTACGTAATATTTACACGACTTACAGTACACATCCTTTGAAATTGAAATTACATAGAAACGAAGCAACAAATATCCAAATGAACAAAAAAAAAAAAAAATTGTTGAGAGATCCAAAGTACAAAGAATACAAATGACTATAGCTGTTTCTCACCATTCAAATCTAAACTACTAGAATCATCCATAATCATTATTTATATTCCCCGCATTTGTTCACATTTGGAAGCACGAGTAGGCCCTATGATAATGAAAGAAAAAAAAAGAAAGAAATACGTTTATAACCAAGGATGCCAAGACGGGTCCATTCTACACAAATTATCATGACTGTTCGCTGCAGCAACCAAAGTGCTCACTTTGCTGTCGGTTCCATCGAAATTGGCCAAGGAATTCAGCCTTCCAACGATTGCATTGACTGCTCGAGTGACCATCGTTATTAGAAGCTCGCCTTTCATATCTGTCGGGGTTTGAGACGCGTTTTCAGCATCTTCTTGCTTCTTATTGTGATCTGCTATCACTTCATCCCGGAGGATTGCACGGAGAATCGTGTGCACCTTGAAGGATGGTTGGACCAAGCAACGAGCTGTGGCAATGGCACTTGCAGTTAGTGGTCCGGAGACACCTGTACATTAATAACGATTCTTTTAAATGTTTCATATTATGTTATTTGTATTAAATAAAAGAATATAGAATGTACGAACCTGTACTGGTGAGGAATTCCAGAATATTAGGCGTCAACCGGAAAGGAACAGGTCTGTTGGCGTCCAGTTCACCAGAGGTATCGTCAACGTCGAACTTGAAGTAAGCAATATTGATCAGACCCGAATCTTGATGCACGTACATCATGTCCGGATTCAATCTCGTCAAGTGGAGCACGTACTCCGCGAAGCAGGCCAAAGACAATTGTAAAGTGAACTGTAAAACAAAGAAGAAAAAGAATTAAATTGAAATTTACACAATCAATCCTTTACCTTATGATTCCTTAACAATTTTTTTTATATGTTTTTATTATCTCACCATTTTCCTAAAGGTCCAATAGTCAGTGGCACCGGGGAACGTTTTCACCGCCCAGTCTCTCAGCATAGTCTTTGCAACCATTGTCGTCTGCACTTCCTTCAGAATATCTCTCAAAACCTGATGACTCGCCTGTGCCCCTCTAGCTTGTACAGTCGCCAATCTATCGTAATACCTAGCTATAGGCGCGTCGTGTTCTATTCCTAATTTCGCACAGCCTTGTTTGTAAATGTCCAGTAGAGAAACTGAGGCAGGATTATCTTCGACCAGCCTCATCTGTGGCGACACCGCGACCACACGTGGAACAGTGAAGTGTAAGAACCTCCTAGATGTCTCTTTTTGTTTGGCCAGATAATGATTTAGCATCCTTAACAATTGCAAAACTCGTTCCTCTCGTCTCGCATCGCCCAGTCCAGCGTCGTTCACAACCAAATAGGGATAGAGGCGTCCATTATGACCACGAATCCGCAATCTTCTAGCTGCTGTATTATGTCGTTGAACTACTTCGACTCTAGGCATGAATCTTGCTATCCTCACATAGTAGTGTGAATGTTTAGGTAACAGGAATTCGCCTGGAAGTTCGACCTCCGCGGTTTTCAGGCTGAAGTTGCTCAAGAATCGACACTTTTCCTCGATCAGGAAGGACCTGTTGAATGTTACAATTTTAGGTAGGTTAACCTTCAAATGGGGTTATAATTTGGGAATTTCTTTTATGCGATATACTCACTTTGGTAGTTGTTTAGTCTTCCCTTCGAGAATCTTGATCCACTTCTTCAGCTTGCTGATGAGATTGTGAAGCAGCCTCGCACCAGGCACGGTGAAGTCGAAGTCGCTTTTGAATTGGCCCTTCATCTTCTGGAACACGGGGTCCTGGACGGTAGCCTGAGCTCTGCGCGCCAGAGATTCTGAAGCCGCCGAGCCGAACGTGTTGTTCACGTTTTGAGACGAGGATATGTTTTCTGGGATTCGGAAAATCCTTCCTTAACGATTTCTTTTGGTTCGAATAATTAAGGGCTAGCGATAGCTTACCGATTCCTATGCCAAACGTAGACACCAGCTTCTTCACGAAGTTCAGGGTGTGAGGAGTTATGGTTGCCTCACTCACCGCACCACGATTCTCGAATGCTATCGCGTAACATTTGGCCAGACCTTGTCTCAGTTGCCTCAGCACTTCTTCATACCAGGTTTCTCGGAACCATACCATCTGGAAAATTTGATTTATTCGTTTGTCTCATCAGTTTCAAGTGAAGACAGAGAGAGTGAGTGATATAGAGAAATTGTATTAACCTGATCAACGATGCCTTCCAAGCTAGACAAAATTGTCGGATGAATGTCCCTCTGCATATGCATGATCTTTGAGCACCTCCACATAGGTGGCGTTGCTCGAATTGGTCCCGTCTCAGGTACTCCTTGTTGTTGCACGTTTCCAGCGGCTCCACGACCTTCCACTCCCTCCTGATTCTTCCCAGCAGCCAATTCTGCGCTCTTGTATCTCTCACGTTGCTCTATTTTCAACGTCAGATACAAAGTTCTGATAGAAAAGTACACAGCCTGTGGGAACATCCTTCCAACTTGACTCAATAAATTCAAAATCACGTTTCCCTCGTGTCTGACCAAACACATCAACAACTGAGGTATCCATGGTAGCCATTGAATAGGAGGAACACCAACAGCATACTTGTCTACAGCTTCCATCAAAGAGAACTTGTCATCATCATAAGTGAGCAGCCAGAGTACCTTTGCCAAATACTTTCTAGACTTGGATTCATTCTGATGTCTGCACGCATGGAGGAAGCAAGTGATGGCCGAGATTCCAATGGAAATCTGACGTGCATCTCTAGTGAAGATGTGCTCTAAATAGTCACCCCATAGAGCCCAGGCTTTTACCAGGGTGTCGTGTAGCTGAACTGCAGCTGAGAAGGCTTTATTCGCGTCGTCCGATCTTCCTATCTGAGACAGCAGCATCCCTTTCAATGCATAGAATTCTGCAGTCATTTCCTTGGTGAAGTATCTCAGATTCGTGGACTCAATCACCTCCAAACCTTCTTGTAATTCGTTCTTCCCACTGACTGAGGCCATTTGCAAGTAGCACTTCACCTGCTGTCTGATTTTCTGGAAACAATCAACAATAGGCACACTGGGTATAGTGTAGATTTTAGACAAAGAGTCCAGGCATACACCACACAGATTATGCTTCCTGGCTATCTTTCCAAAGTGGATGATAGCTTGAACAGAAGCATGCACACCAAGCATAGAGTGATTGGTGGTCTGGTCTTGTTGGGAATCATAGTGGCTTGAGATGAACGTGTAATGATGTTGCCTCCAGGTGAAGATGTCTGACCAGTGGCTAAGATCATCAGCTATCACTGGTAGCCTGTTCCTCCATGTCTTCACTATAGCTTTCATGTCATGCAGAGAAGTGCTTCTTCCATGTAACAGTCCCTGATGAATCTGCATGGCTTCTTGAAGTTCCATTATCTGTTGAGCTGCCTGAAGCAATGGTAGATGTACATGGCTCACTATATGAGGTAGTCTACGCCATTCACGCATACAGAGGCCAGAAGCTAGCTCCACGTATCTTTCCACTGCGTTCAGGTGTTGATCCTCGCTGTTACATATGGCTAGGAAGCCTCGATACAGATTCACCTTCCAAGCCATCTCCTTTGGACAATTATGCTCCACCTGACCAAGAGCCTCCTTCATCATGGTCCAATTAGGAATACGCCAGGAGCTTTCAAGAATTAAGAAAGGATTCTTCTCAGCCTTTTTGCTACCATAGTCCAACAACAAGTCCCATTGACTCAACTCCTTTGCACATCTTATCCAATGCTGCTCCCAAAGCATGGCTTCCCTTTGAATTTTGAACGGTGCCGGTGTGGACACGTAGTCCTGCTTAAATTTCGTCATGGCTACGTCATAAGCTCCTTGGGCCTGCTCGAAAAACCCTTGTTGTTCCAAGGCAGTGGCTTGCAATGTCTCTTTGTAATGAGCATGCTTCTGCCATAAGCCAGACCACATGTCCTCTTCGCATAACAAAGAGTACATATCAGATAAAGAATCTAAAATCTCAGCATGAGGACTGTTATCAGGCTCAAAGTCATAACAGTCAGACTCTCTTTTGATCTTAAACTGAGTATTACTATTGTCAAACGCCATTTGTTCCAAGCTCAATGTCATTCTATGCCAGAGATTATGCGATCTACCCAGATATTTCATCAAGGCAGGCCTCATAGGCACTGCAGGATTGCAATGAGAAATTGCCTCAACAAATGTGGCTATAGCACTTGGATGACAATCTTTCTGGATCACGTGTGTACCACTGCAAATAAACGGCACCACTTCAGCTATTAGAGTGTTATGCTGATGTTCATCTAAGATGCTCCAGATTCGTGGGAACGTGTCCAACCAAACACGTTCTGCTAAATTAGTATCCATATGACACAGCTGAGCTGTGGCTAACAATAACTGCTCAGTTCTAATCTTCTTTGCGTATTTGATGAATTTACCCTGCTTCGCGATTAACTGAGTTAATCTTGCCTTTCCTGTGATCTCTTCAGGAACAGTGGTTGAATCCACATTGGACAGATCAATGTCTAGAATATCATCCTTCACGTCACTGCTGTCTGCGATGTCCTGAGGCTCCTCTTTTATTGAAGTATAGATCATGAAGTTCTTGTGCTCTTCACTGTCTGCCATGTTTATCACAGAAGTTACACTTGGTAGCAGAGTATCCTGATTCGACATTTGTATCTGAGTGGTAGAATTAGCAGTGACAAGGAGCAATTCTATGCACTGCTTGATCCAGTAATGAGGACCTATCGCGTCCCAACTTTGACTGCAGATGATGTACAAGAGTCTGTCGTGAAGACGTCTTCTCATAGATCCATCGAACACCTCGAAGAATTTCGCTCTTATCTGTGGCTGAACGCATCTGAGACCAGAGAGAAAAGCTGGCTCTAATTTTGATGTTAATTCGGAAGATTTGAGAGTCTCGTCTCTGTAGATGTAGTTAACCAGCTCCAAGAATTGTCTGTTTAATTCTAAGTCATCAGGGAATCGTTTCTCCACGTACTGCATCATCTTGACCAGAAGAATAGACTTTTCTCGAAGGCTGGGTGCTTGATTCATCGCGATAGGGTTCTTGTTCTTCATCCACTCTTCAAGCATCTTCGTGATTGCTTTCATTACCTTTATATCCTGCGTTTTCTCTATCAGACCAACGAGAATGGAACCTATGAAGGACTTTCTCATCTCTACTCCCATAACTACAACTCTGTTCTTCACAAGATCCAAGCTTAAGATCAATAATTCACTTCCAACAGGATTCGCCTCAGCTTGGGCTGATTGGAGATGATCCTTGGCCATTCTGTGCAGAACTCTCATGAAAGGAGTTATCAATCTATCAATGTAACTTGGATTATTCGTGCAGGCAGCCTTCAGCATCATCAGAGTTCCGAATAAAGTGCTTGGAGTGGCAGTAGTATTCTTCTCATAAGTCGCCAAGCCATCAACTACGAATTTACCAACAGTTGTGTACAAAGTGTCCAGTTCTTCGTATTTTGAGGCAACAGTAGAGGAAGTTGGCTCAGCTGGGAATATTGTCATCAAACGAGACAACAATCCGTGAACCAAACGAATCACTTTAGTGTTACTGCTAGCTATACAAGCACCTATGCCTCTCTGAAGAGGCTTGAAGCTAGCCAATATCTGCTCCCTTTTCATTACACCTAACAAGAACGTCAAGACCTCAAGAGCAGTAGAAATATTGCCATAATTTGGTTGAGCGCTGTCTACACTAGCCAAAACCTTGTCCAACCAGGCCAGTTTCAAATCACAAGACTGTGGCCAGACATCAGGCTTTAGGGCCATTTTCAACAGAGCTACACAACGTCTAGAGAGCTGTTCACCAGGATTACCATGAATAGTTGTCACGTCGTTCACTTGACAAGCAAGTCTCAACAAGAAATTCAATATTGCATCAGCATGAGCTCTTTCAATAGGTTTTGTTGACCCTGGCTCCAATCTGGGCAAGATCACAGGCACAGTGGCACTTCCTGTGGCTGCTTGAGTGGTCAAACGTTTGGTACCAGTTGGATCGTCGTTCATTGGTCGTTTAACAGAGCCCATCATAGTTTTATTACCACCTGTCTCATTGCTCTCTGCCTCGTCCTTGATCCTGTGCAGTTCCCATTTGATAATCACCTCAGCTAACTCAACTGCTAGTCTTCTGTGCTCTATGGTCGCTGTTGGACTGAAACCTAGCCTCTGAATAGAGTTCACTATATGCTGGACCAAGTGATGCCTCACAGGATAGTACACTTTGTAGTGTCTGACTACTAGCTGAAGTATATGGAACAATTGCTGCATGGAATGACCCTCTTCCACTATGATTTTCTTTGTCCAGTGTGTCAGCATTGTATTACCATCCTCCATTCTAACAGGCATGGCTGGAGTTAGAATTTCTAACGCCTGTCTCACCACATTCCTCGCATCAAGCGCATGAGCTTTCAATAGGCTATGGAACACCTGAAGAACTATCCTTTTGTGAATGGCAAACTTGGCGATTATATGACTGAGCAGCAAGTGACCGTGGTACCTAGTCGTAGGATCGACACAGTTCTTTCCCAGTAGACAGGGCCAGGCGAAAGTCATCAATCTTCGTAGTTTGTTCCCTTGTCTTTTATTACTGACGTCGTGGATGTGCTGAGAAGCCTGTTCCACGAGAAGACAAGAGAACTGCAGCAAAGAGATACGAACACAGTCTGCTGAGCCAAAGGGATTATCTGGGTCGATTATTTTACTGATGAACACAGAAACGACGTTCTCTGGGTTGTCTTGGTAAGGCATGGGTGCTCCTCCAATTAATTTCATCCCCTCACCTCGCTCAAAACTCACGGCGAAGCAGGGAATGACTATTAATTGCAAAACATTGGCCTTTAACTCCTGAGATAAATTATTTGTTGGGAAATGATCGACGAATCTGAAGAAAGCGCTTCGTTTCCATTCCACTGTGTATTCCTGAGCTACAGTGTGCTCTAAGAAGTCTCTTAAAAATTGGAAATCAGGAATGAATCTGTCACAGGTTGCTCTTAATAATTGGAATAATAAATCAATGTCGTTTGGATGATGGCGGAAATAATGTAGCAGAATTTTTACAATTAATTTGGGCTCCTTCCAGTGACAATACTCTACACTTTCTACCTTTTTATGTAGAGCTTGGTACTCATCGTTGCACCAGATTTGCTTCAATGCACCGACTAATTGGCTCTGTGACGACAGCCACTGCTCATCGAATTTAATTAGAATGGCGATAATCTTAATAGCTTGATGCTGCAGTTCGCTCTCGTCGGTCTGTGACAGGTTCGAATTGGTCTGAGAATGTGCCAGTAACATAGTAATTAATCTCGCTGTGCTATTGTGCAACACGTCACGAAACGGTTTTCCATCTTTCTGTTTGATCAAAAACTCCAAGTACCTGCTCCACTGCTGATCCTTAATATTATTGTCGTGTAAAAATAAATTCAGAGTTTCTGTTGGGTACCTCAGTAGAAATTTCATCAAAGGAATACGAAAAGGACTGGACACTTCAACCATAAGTGATTTTTCTGTTTGTAAAACCAGCCTGCAAAGAACGTCGATAAATATTGGAGTGGCTGCGGGAATCTCGTGAAAGATCCCTATAATAGTTGCTATCTTCTGTTCATTTTCACCAGATTTCGATATTCCCTTGTGCGCCTGAATCAGATTCTCTAAAAGCTTCTTCAAGTGCTGTAACAATTGTTCACAGAGAGCTGTACTGAATGTGCTAGGGAACAGTTGAGTCAAATAGGAAAGTCTCTTCACGCAATTCAGACTCAAGTTTCTATGATCACCAAGAGTCAACAGCATGGGTCGCATGATCGCGTGGACGGACTGCATGTCTATTTGGAAACCAGCTATGAATTTCTGCATGCATTCGAAGGCTGCTTCTTGCAACTCTGCGTTAGGTTTCTCCAGAGCTTTATAGAGAACGCCAAATATTCTTTCTCTGCAAGCCACGATGTAATGACAGGCAGCCAAGGCTCTTAAAGCTGACTTTCTCAGAGGAATAAGATTCGAGACGGATTTGTAACACGGCAGTTTGTTCAAATTAGCGTCTTCTGCTTCGCTGAGGGCTAACAATTCTTGGAAGAACACATCGTGCTCTGTTAAATCGATGGTAAAGAGACGTGGATTCAACGTGGTGCAAAATGTATTCCCATCTATCAGACCAATCTGTGCATTCGCTGGTTGATGTCTCAGTAAATGCTTCTTAGGTGGGATCATGTCTGCTAAAACCTCTTTATGCGGTTCCATCACTTCAGTGACTGTTTTATTCTGTATCTCGGCGAGCAGTCTCAACGAAGCCATAGCCTGTTCTCTCACCAAAGTGTGTGGCGACGTTACCTGTCTCACTAGCTCATGAGTGACCTCATAGAGACTTTTGTTCTGTGCTTCTATCAGTTCTGTATTCCCATCTTGGATTCCAGGGTTCACACAGACTCTCAACATGTTCTCCAAGTTTGCTTTAGCCATATCTATGGCTCCATTGGATACTTCTTCAGTCAGGTCCATCATCACAAACATCAGAGCCTTGAGGAACACGAAAAGATGATTCAACACCCATTTGGTAGCCATTCTTTCGAAGAGAAATTTAATAGCTATGCAGCCGCCCAATTTTGCGTACCAAGCTCGTTCGTAGCAGAGGGAGCACATCTTCTCTGCTAGATATTCCATGAGTGGCAGCTGACAGGCTCGTTCCTTGGAACCTAGAATATTAATTGCAGTTTCTAGGATTAAAACCAGCGCTATGTGTCCAGATTTGTACAATTCTTTCTCCTCGTGACCCATGATAACAGCCAGAGCGTCGATTAAGACCAGTGGATCCTGACCCTGCATTCTAACTTGTCTTCCAGTCAGACAGAACGGTCCAGCTTGCTGTGCTATGGCTACCATGGTGTAGTGTCTAACTATGGATGCAATAGTGCCTAACACAGAATTCCTCAATTCTTTGATCTCTGCAGCAAGGAAGAGACCAGTCAGAGCTGTCTGTTGCACGTTTCTTGCAACAGCGTCTGGGCACTGATAGTGAGGACCCCTTTGATGAGGAATCTTTCCTTCTTTGAAGCTAGGATGCATGAATAATTTGTACAAAATAGTACTGCTATCGTCTAGACGCAACGAAGCGGCTAGGTAGCAGCTGATCACCTCCCAACACTGTCTACGATAAAAGGGATCGGTATTGTTAGACTTTAGAGCATTGAACGCAGTCTCGATCACTTTCTCCACAGGAAAATCGATTGGTTTAGTAGGTTCCTGGAAGTATACGACTATAGCTGGCGAATTGGTTTCACGATCGTTGTATTCTAATTTCTGAGGCTCGATCATCATCTTCCTATTCCCTCCACCGAATTTTCCTAGAACTCTGAACGCTACGTGAGCTTGATCAGTTGGATTATGTAGAGTTCTCCATAAAGCTTGCATCAGATCAGCTCGAACAGGTTGTATGTGTTCGTAGAGGAAGTCAGGTTGAAGATTATCCACGCACAACTCGAGAGTTCTCAGTCCTTGACTCACCAGGCAATAACTTCCGTTTAACGCAGAAACTAGAGGATCCATTAACATTGGGAGATAAGGCAGGAGAGAGCTGAGCCTCACAGGAACTGTTAAGCATAATTCAACGAAAAGATCTTTCATATGCTGCCTGTGTAAACCAGATTGCAGTCTGTTCAAACCTTCCAACATATTCGGAAGCAGAGGTAAGAATTCTTGATACAGAAGATCATGGGAACCACCGCCGATGGATCTGAACAAAGCTCTCAATAAAAGGAAATAATTGTAGGGCTCTTTCGCAGACATCGCTAACTCTATAGCTCTATTGACTATCTGATTCAAATGTGGCCTCAGCATATGTTCGTTCTCAGCTGGGAAAAGGGACACGCTGCCAAATACTAGTTTAAACAGTCTCAAGTACAAGTTACTCCTCTCTACATTTGAACCCATATCACCCATTCTTTCTAACAAGTATTCAACCAGTATAGTTGCAAACGTAGACGATATCGTGGGACTGGATAAAAAGGCACTTCCAATGATCTGCAACGCGCAATTCTTGAAGATCCTCTCGACCATGTAGTCGATAGAGGTGGAGAATATTTCCTGGAATGTCTGAGGATTCATCTGGGTGAAAACGTTTCCAAAAAGCTCCAACACTTCTTTCTCTTCTCTCGTTCGGATTGTTTGAGACTGAGCTGGCCTGCCTGGCTGTGAAATAGTTCCTATAGTGGGAGGACCTATAGTGTAAATATCCAACGCAGGCAATGCCCATTTCACTAATTTAATATAAACCAGTGTCTCCTTAGTCTGAAACTGATTAGACTGCGTCACTTCGCCAGTCTTGCTGTTGATACAGTTAGCTGTGATCGCTTTTGCACCGTGAACCAAACTCTTCACCAAGTTCCTATAATCAGCTACGTTGTAGCTCATAGCCTGAGACGAGGGAAACCCAAATTTCGATTTACCACTGTCTTTGTCGTCGTTCAGATCTGGAATAACCGGTTTAACGTCCTCCGTTTTAATGTCCAAACCCGGTGGAGTCATCTGTTTCGCTTTGTTACGTAAAATTGGTATATAGATCTTGGCTATCGTTTTAAATTTCAAGACAAACACCAGAAGAATTCTCATCAGCAGCTCTCTGCCTTGGGTGCTGTTCTCTGCGTCAGACCTTTGCCTCACGGTGTCCACTAGGTTCATCAGCAATTTACAAGAAACCATCTGGACAGCTGTCGGAAGACTCTGGTCCAATAAATTCTTGCTATAGAGGTGCACAGCTCTGGAGACGTCGCTCAATGGTAACAGTAGCCTAACGTGGTGAACTAAGTCAGCGAGTGTCGAGTATGCTAATGGTCTGAGTGACTCGTGCGTGGTCCAGCCTCTTCCTATGAATATATCCTCGTCGAAGAAGCACTCCATGTGCGGTATAAATTTATTTCTGAGATCAGTGGCAAGTATGTGTCTCGACGCGATCACCAATTCTTTCCTCAAATGAGCCACTTCCTTTGGACACAGTGTGAACAAACCCAGTATACCTTTCACTAATATTGAACTATGCTGAGAGACGACATCTTGGTATACTCTGATCACGTATGCAAGAAACGATAAGGTTTTAATCTGAGCACCCATAAAATCGACGAACACCTCCTTGTTGAAACCAGGCGACGCTCTATGTTGAGGACTCGGTTGCAGAGTTATGGTTGTTATCACGAGTGGGATGAAATCAGACACATCCTGATGCACATTCTGTTTGTACAACTGGTTCATAAGTACGACTATAATTGGTAATTCTTGGAGCACTTTCAGGGATAATACAGCCTTGGGGATTAAATTGTACTGAAAGAAGAAAGTTTCGCGTTAAACTTGTTCTATCTATTTAGATCGAGGTAGACTGTTTTTGTGAATACATACGGTAACAACTGTGCCGTCTGCCGCTTTCTTCTCGCTTTGTATAGCTGTGATAGTGAACGTTTCTTTCAGTAGAGCTTCTATATTTATTTCCGACAGATCTTTCACTCTTAAAGGCGGTCGAGGCTCGAATATTTTTGGCAGGTTCTTTGGTAACTCGCTGTACACCGATTTGACGAATTGCAAAAAATACTGTATCTGTGGAATGGAATTATTTTTCGTTTAGAAATAATTATTCTATTCGTTTTTATTCTTACGTAGAAACGGTTTATCACACACTTCAGGATTGAAGGTGGGTTTGTACTGTTTGTGCAGTTCGATGATGATCCTTAAGCAAACTAACACATTCTCCTCGTTATCAGTTTCCAACAATTTCGACATCAGACTTAGAATTTGCTTCACGTACGGACGTAGGTAATCGTTGCTCGGTAGCCGGTGTATCATTTCTAAAATCAGCTTTCTCACTTGCTGGATGTTGTACTCGGAGATGAAGTGTGGTTCACCCTCTTGGAGTATCTTGAGAAATATTTTCATCATATGATCGAGAAACGCCGGATACTGCGAAGAGCACATGATCACCTGAAATAATTTCAAGATTAATCCACACATTCTTACAAAAAACTTATTCAATTTTTGTCGTTTAGAGATAAATTTCTCGTTATTTATCAGTCTTCAACTTACGTTTCTCGCTGTAATAAAAAGGACAACGTTAAGATACCTCAAAATTCTCCGACAATTCTTGAGCAGCTTTCAGTTTCAATTCGTCCTTTGAAACTGGATCAGCCAGCATCGTCACGTACGATCTGTACGTGTTCATTTGCGTCACTGGATCAGGTGGTGCCATTTCGATCGCTTAATCAAAAGTTCGGCTCGTGCTAAGTCTGGTCCATTAGAAAACCTGCAAAAAAATTGCAATTTAACTATTTCGTCCAAAATTAGAATGCCGCAACTGATACACAACCCATCCAAAAATGAAAATTAACCCGTTCTTCTTCGTTCTCGAGAAGAAACGTTTATTAGTCTACTAATAGTAAATCAACAAAAAAATATACAAAATACATAAGAGTAACTTTAGAATAAATAAACGTACTCGAAGTCTCATAATCACCTAACTTCCAAGTAAACTATTAATCTCTCCAGAAAAAAACAAAGTTCATTAATTCAGAATCGAGGAAAGATAATCTACATAGTCTTCCGAAAAATCGATCAGGCGTGTTTGTCAACAACCCTTAGCAACCACTCCCCGGTGCCTCTTATCCTCCGCTTTTAATCGGGCTTCCTAGATTAATCGCTCACCTTTCACGTCCGAAATCTCTCAGGTGTGAAAACTACCTGCTCGAGTTGGCGAAAGAAGAAAGAGCGAGACTTGCTGATTGGTTCTCGCGATCTTTCGGGGGTGAAGTGAACGTGGATATGTTAGGGGCGAAGGAATATATACCTAACGGCTATAAATGCTCACGAAATTCTGGATACGATCTCAGTATCCTCGCAATGTTTCTGCTAACCTGATGAAACTTCGACGAACCGATAGAAAATTGTTGAAAAAAAAAAAATAAGAAGAAAAGATACGGAAATTGAAAAATGGACGAAGCAATAATCGACTCGATCTTCGCGGGATCTTTGAAGTCTCTCCCGGCTGTTAGCTCTAAAATCGTCCGGATATTTACAAGTTCCACTTTCACCGGTAATTTTTATCTTAATTTTAGTATTTCTGTTTTGTGTTTTTTTGTTTTAAGGATGAACGTTTTGGTTTAGATACCGCTATGGAGAGAAACACCTTGATGGCACAGTGTTACCCTAAGCTGAAGGATTACTGTAGGGAGAAACACGGATTAGAGTTTCAGGTAATCAGTGACATAATCGATTAGGAGATCTGTCATTTTGCTCGGAGATTAAGGGGTACTTTGGTGGTGTGTAAATATTTTTTCAACGTACGACTGATTATTGTATATGTGTATAAATTGATAAGAGTTGAGTGTTACAGTAGAGTATGATATAGATAGGAGTGTCAAAATCTGTATTATGTAAGCATGATTTGAAGACCTTGAGGAAAGAATTGATTTCTATCGTACCTGGTACCAGTTCTGCTACGTGTATACGGACACAACTTTTCCAAACTTTGATTCACAGGGGTACTATTTTAGACGGTGTGACGTGAAACGTCGGATTCTTTAATTAGTCATAAGTGATTACTCGAATAATGGGAAATTTTGGGTGTTTTTCGCGTTCACTCGAAATTTATGCAATATTAAAGAACGATTTTTATTTAATTCTAGAACAATTTTAACAGTTTGATAGGTCTGAATTTAAAGGGAGGAAAGGTGGTTTCGCGTCAACTAAAAATTTATGCAATATTGAAAAGCGATTTTTACTTTGGGCAAGAAAAATTTTGATAGTTTGATAGGTTCTGAATTTATAAGGAAGAAAAGGAAGGAAAGGTGGTTTCGCGTTAACTCAAAATTTATGCAATTTAAAGAACGATTTTTCTTTAATTCTAGAAAAAATTTTAACAGTTTGATAGGTCTGAATTTAAAGGGAGGAAAGGTGGTTTCGCGTTAACTAAAAATTTATGCAATTTAAAGAACCATTTTTATTTTGGTCAGGAAAAATTTGAACAGTTTGATAGGTTCTGAATTTAAAGGGAGGAAAAGGGAGGGAAGGTGGTTTCGCATCAACTAAAAATTTATGCAATATTGAAAAGCGATTTTTACTTTGGGCAAGAAAAATTTTGATAGTTTGATAGGTTCTGAATTTAAAGGGAGGAAAAGGGAGGAAAGATGGTTTCGCGTTAACTCGAAATTTATGCAATTTAAAGAATCATTTTTATTTTGGTCAGGAAAAATTTGAACAGTTTGATAGGTTCTGAATTTAAAGGGAGGAAAAGGGAGGAAAGATGGTTTCGCGTTAACTCGAAATTTATGCAATTTAAAGAATCATTTTTATTTTGGTCAGGAAAAATTTGAACAGTTTGATAGGTTCTGAATTTAAAGGGAGGAAAAGGGAGGAAAGATGGTTTCGCGTTAACTCGAAATTTATGCAATTTAAAGAATCATTTTTATTTTGGTCAGGAAAAATTTGAACAGTTTGATAGGTTCTGAATTTAAAGGGAGGAAAAGGGAGGAAAGGTGGTTTCGCGTCCACTCAAAATTTATGCAATACTGAAAAGCGATTTTTACTTTGGGCAAGAAAAATTTTGATAGTTTGATAGGTTCTGAATTTGTAAGGAAGAAAAGGAAGGAAAGGTGGTTTCGCGTTAACTCAAAATTTACGCAATTTAAAGAACGATTTTTCTTTAATTCTAGAAAAAATTTTAACAGTTTGATAGGTTCTGAATTTAAAGGGAGGAAAAGGGAGGAAAGGTGGAGATTAATTAAACGACGTAATTACAGGTGGTCGATATGCGATGGGGTGTACGAGACGAGGCCACAGACGATCATATGACCACAGAATTGTGCATGAGAGAGATCGAGAATTGCCAGAGGCTCTCGATGGGGCCAAATTTCGTGGTACCGAATCACTCAGAAAATTTATACCACCAAAAGTTCTGTCCTTTCTATTCCCCATATTTCTCGCGATTTATCAAATTTTACTCGGTAAAAATCTCTCAGTTTTTCACTGAAACAATTTTCAATCTCTGTTTTACTCTTCTTCGAGGTTTAAATCCACAGTTTGAAACTTTCGACGATAAATTACAGACTGGAGAGCTCCGATTACTTTTCCACTTCCACTCGTGGCAATAAAAGTCGCACCAAATTGAGAAGTTAAATTTAGGGGGAAAAAATTGACAGAACTTTTAAGTACTCGTTTAGGTAAGATAGGGAGAGTTTCTTTGGATTTTTCGAGGTGTTTCTCGGTCAAAAATACGGCTACCGTCCGATCCCAACGTACGTACTCAGCTCGGAATTAGAAATGTTGAAGACGGAGTTGGATGGTCAAGGAACGGACGTCGGTCTTTTGGACAAATGGTACAAAAAGGACAGCAACGCGGTTCCACCTACTAGTATCTTGCAACCGATATCCTCGATCTTGAAGAATTTCAATAATAAAGTAACAGAGTTTGCTCTTCAAGTAATTGAAATTTAACCCTTCGCGGTGCTGCGTCCAGTCTGACTCGACGCAAGAATTTCTCCCTTCAGATATCGTGTGATGACGATAAACCATTTTTTTATGCATTAATATTACAGCGAAGGTTAGGATTTTATAGCTAATATTACGCTGAGATATTGAAATAAAGGGGAACTAGATGGTACTGCCCGAGAGTGACCAAATGAGTGCGGATTAAGTGGACTATTTGGACCGCGAAGGGTTAATGCTGTACCGAAACTTAGTATTTTACAACTAATATTACGCTGCAATATCGAAGTAAAGATACGAATAGAGAGATATTGAAATACAGTGACCAAATGAGTGCGGATTAAGGCGGTATTCTAGTCTAGACTTTTCAAAAAAACCGATTTCCTTTCTTTAGATTTTCTGAAAGTAGACGTTTGCAGAAGTAAAATTGCCCAATTTATAGATGGTTAAAGAAGACCCCATGTAGCTTGTAATCATAAAAATACCATTCTCATGTAATTGCCACGAGAAACTTTAAACGCGTTTTTCTCGAAACCACGTTTTTCTAAATGGCTGACATGATATCTCAAGTTCTAGTTGCCCGATTGACTCGAAATTTTACACGCACCTTCAGTGGGTGTGTCGTTATCGTCTGAACCAGAATTACGCCGAAATCTATATTTTTCCGATTTTTAGAGCCTCTGAAAGACGAAGAAAGTGGAAGAAATCGATATTGAAAATTCAAAGTGGCGCCATTTTGTAAATTTTCACTATTTCTTTTTCATTCTGGTTCACACCATAGTAACAATCGTACTAATCTAGAATCCCCTTGGTTGTTTCATTTCGGATAAACAGAATGGGCGGAATCGTGTCAGCCAGTAGGACACAGTGTTTTTTAAAGGGACCGCATCGAACGATGCATAACTCAGACAGCTTTGATTATTTTCACTTGAGAAAAATTGTGAACTTTCTTCAAACATGAATGAATATGTGTGCAAAACGCCGATACCGAGAAACTTATACTTTCCTTACAAAAAAATCCCTAAGGACTAAAAATGACACTCTAGACTAGAATACCTTAACTGGACTGTTTGGACCGCAAAGGGTTAATGCTGTGCCGAAACTTAGTATTTTACAACTAATATTACGCTGCAATATCGAAGTAAAGATACGAATAGAGAAATATTGAAATACAGTGACCAAATGAGCGAGGATTAACTGGACTATTTGGACCGCGAAGGGTTAATGTTACACCGAAACTCGGTATTTGCTAATTAACACTTTAAGCGCCGGACCCGCCCGAATGTGTGTTCCGGAAAATATATATCTCTAAAAATCGTCGCTGTGCCTGTAGGAATTTTCTCTTTTCCAAGAGTTATCTTACTTTACCTTGTAAAAGTGCACGTTTCTACGAAGCTCGCGGCGCCTTAAGTTTCCAACAAAACAGCCGGCGCTTTAAGCGTTAATATCACGCTCAAGTATTGAAACGAAGATATAAATAAAGAAATACCGAGATAAAGCGGTTAGATTGTTGAGAAAAGCACTTTTCTCGTGTGTCGTTCAGAGAATACCGAAGTTGCAGCAAGAAGATCAGGCTATCTGGTGGGACACCATGGTGAAGATGCAGAAATTGTTCCGGAAGGGAGCACAGTCTCTGTTCAATTGCGGAAAATTCGACAAAGACACTATGCACAATTATTTCATGTCAGGTATAGAGAAACAGCGCGAGAAAGGAAATAGAGTAAAATACTTGTGAATGTTAATTTTTGGTGCAGTGACTGAAAGAGAGGTGATAAATGGCATACTAAACGTGAAGAACACGAAAAATCACTGTCTGGCGTATATCAGGTACATAAATAACATAAATCTGCAAAATCTGAGGAAAGCTAGTCTCTTCTTGGATATAGCTAACAGAAGTTTGGATAACGAAGCGTCGAAATTGTTGGGAAACTTGAGGGACGAGAGGCTACCTGATAAAATCGAGAGCACGAATCTGCAAAGGTAGCTTTTGTAGAAGAAAAGTACACCTGTCCCCCGACTTACACGGATGATCGGTTCCTCAGAATACCGTGTAAATCGAAATCATGGCTTTTTGTACGAAAAACCGTGTAAATCGGGGAAAAAACAAAATGCGCACAATTTAGTCAGTGATTGAATTAAATTCGTTATTTTAAATGTAAAATAAAAATGAAAAACAAGAAATATTCAGGGTCAGGGTTTAGTTTCGAGCGAGCGGTCGACGAAGGCGAAAATAGCCGGTCGCCGATGAAAGATCCGCGGCGGCAGCAAATGAATGCTTTTCGTCTGCAAAAAAGGGGGAAATTCCGTTCATTTTTTGGTTTAATGCCAGTGTTGACAAACGGACGGTACTAAAAAATTGGCTGTACCAATATGTGCGCAGAATAAACTTTTATTTTTAACAGTTTATATTCCTGAGAAGCCGTTATTTAGAAAACCATGCAAAAGTGAAATCGCGTAAGTAAAGTACCGTGTAAATCGGGGGATAGGTGTATAAGTGAAACGTTTGTACGTAGTAAATAAGGAAGGAAGAATGTAAAAGTAGAATTTTAATCGCACTTTCGTATGATATTGCGTTGAAGATACACGGTAGAGTGGATTGGTCGAGAAGGTTTGGATACGGAGACTCACAGCGAGTACCTTCAGCACTTTATCACCCATTTCTACCGAAATATCGTGAAACTCGTGGATCGTGCGATGAGAAAGGAAGACAGTTCTGCTCAGGGGCAGATTATTACGGAAATTTTGCAGCACTTACACGCCTGTAACAATTCTGTGAAGGTAACACTGAAAGATTGAGTTGAATTATTCGAGGCTCCCGGGTGTAAGTCGTGTCCAAAAGAATTTGCATTCCGACGTTTCGCCAGCATTGCAGCTAGCTTAATCAGGGTCTGGAGACGTAGGGGGAGTTCCCTTAACGCCGTTCGGCACCTAACACCGGACGTTAGTTACATCAAACGCTACTGTTAAGCACTCGGGTGCTGATTTCCGAATATTGCACTTGGTGCCGTCTGAAGATTGAATTGAAGCGTCGAGAGTCTGACTGACTCTTTACCATTCCTGAGGTTAGGTCTGTGCACTACCACACTCCTGGTCTTAAGCTGAGTCGGCCTTCTTATCGAGTCTTCTAAAATTTGAAGAAGGGACGCGAAGGGAGGTTCTTAACCTTTTAGGTACGGCGTGCTCGTCCGCAAGTGGGTACCCCTGGGACAGCGCGCCTGGACGCGGATGGCACAAAAATCGTTCATGACGATTCTCTGACACGTGTACTCTTCAACGACAGCTTCGATATTGCCAGGAAATGCGAAATAAAGCAAAAGACGTATAATACCGTCGAAAATCATGATATCCACGAAAGTCACTACAGTGTCCGCACCGTCCAAATTGGTGCTATCCACGAAAGCCACTACAGTGGCGTACCGTTCCAATTGATGCCATCCGCGGAAGCCACTATAGTGGCGTACCGTATCTAAAAGGTTAAAATGACTAAGTGACCAACCTCGTATCACCCCCGTCCTTGGAGCGGGGGTTACGAAGCTGGTCCTTGCTGGACGGAAATTTGACAAGGGGGGAAACCCCGGCCAGGTCGACTCTCCGACTCGTTCGGAAGGTCGGAGAGTTAAAAGGTTAAAATGACTAAGTGACCAACCTCGTATCACCCCCGTCCTTGGAGCGGAGGTTTCGAAGCTGGTCCTTGCTGGACGGAAATTTGACAAGGGGGGAAACCCCGGCCAGGTCGACTCTCCGACTCGTTCGGAAGGTCGGAGAGGCCTCGGTAACTGACTTCGTGATACCTTGAACAATAGCCTATTCTTTAATATTTGAGAAATTCTAGGTGCCGCATGTTGGCTGCAGACCAGTCTGCTAAATGAAAAATAAAGGTTTGCTTAACTAGAAATCACGTATCATAAAATCGTCCCCTTGCTGACGTAACTCCTAGAGGAGACGAAAGGAATAAAGATAAGTTTTCCACGCGTTTCAGTCGCGCGTGCACAGGTAGAGAGATTTATTTAAGAGGAGCCTTAAGCGTCCGGTGCTAGGGGAACTCCCCCTACTGATAATTCATTCGACGATTCATTTCGACCAATCGATGTTTAATTGATCGAACAATTAAATATCGGTGTTTGATTCTTCTGGACACGGCTTACACCCGGAAGCCTCAGATAATTCAACTCATATCAATCCGGGCCGTGAAAGTCTCGAAACTCTCACCGAAAGATTGGTTCAGGTAAAAGTTAACGAAGCAATGAAAATTAACGAACTTAATTAAAAATTGATAGAAATTAATTGGTTGAATTAGAAATCGATGAAAATGAATCGACACAATTTAGAATTGATTGAAACAGAGTAATTAATTAGAGGCAAAAGGATCGGTAAGTCGCAGCAAGTTGTTTATGAGACAATTTTCAGGTGTTCTACGGCCGAGAAGACACTTTGGTGAAAATCAAAGAGTACATGTTGGGGGATAGCGATAAACCTTTGGTTCTTTACGGAGAAGGTGGTTGCGGGAAAACATCTTTATTAGCTAAGAGTGCAGGATTGACGAGCAGCACGTGGCTCACTGGTAAAAAGCCAATTAACATCATTCGATTCCTTGGCACCACTCCAGATAGCAGCGCTTTGACACCTACGTTAATTTCCATTTGTCAACAAGTAAGTGCTCGAGTTATCGTTCTAATTAAATATGCAAAAGAGGTGATTAGGAAAATTGCATTGGTCGAGTGTCTTTCGATTCGAGATATTTAGATGGAAAGATCGCCGAATGTTGTTTTCATGTGGAATTTATTGAAATTAGGCAAATATAACATTTTTTGCACACGACTCATTTTTCCAAGTGATTTTAGATTTAAAAAATGAGATTTTCGTGTGTAATTTATTGAAATTAGATAATTTCAAATTTTTTCCGTGTGACTGATTTTTCCGAGTGATTTTAGATTTAAAAAATCACCGTTTGGGAGAGAAATTGTTATTTTCATATGTAATTTATCAAAATTAGATAAACATCAAATTTTATATAATATTTTTTTCATACGACTGATTTTAGGTAAAAGAATCACCGTTTGGGAGAGAAATTGTTATTTTCATATGTAATTTACTAGAATTAAATAAACTGAAAATTTTTTATAATATTTTTTCCATATGACTGAGTTTTCCGCGTGATTTTAGATTTAAAAAATCACCGTTTGGGAGAGAAATTGTTATTTTCATATGTAATTTATCAAAATTAGATAAACATCAAATTTTATATAATATTTCTTCCATACAACTGATTTTTCCGAGTGATTTTAGATTTACAAAATCACTGTTTGAGAGAGAAATTGTTATTTTCATATGTAATTTATCAAAATTAGATAAACATCAAATTTTATATAATATTTCTTCCATACGACTGATTTTTCTGAGTGATTTTAGGTAAAAGAGTCACTGTTTGAGAGGAAAATTGTTATTTTCGTACGTAATTTATCAAAATTAGATAGATAAACGTAAAATTTTTTATAATACTTTTTCCATATGACTGATTTTATTTATCTCATAAAGGAAAGGACGAATTCAATAGTTTTTACATTTTTGACTTTCAATTAAACCACTTTCCTAAGCACAAGTACGACAAACTCACGCAAGCGTTTCATCCTAGATCTCCTACAACTTCATGTTGCCTTTCGAAGAAATTCCCGACGATCTGGTACCTTTAACTGCTTTCTTCAAGTACTTGTTGACCCTGGCTACAGACGAACAGCCGATTTTACTATTTCTCGACAGCGTAGACCAACTGACCGGTGTTCAAGGGAATAAACTATCATGGTTGCCTACGAGACTTCCAATTAACTGCAAGGTACACAAAATTGCTTGAAAACTTAATCAAAAAATCCACCGATGTCACTCAAAAACCCTCCAAAGTACCAAATTTCTAAATTCCATTCTGTTCACACGAAAAGTCACATTTCCTTCCACCCTTACAACGACAACAACAACAATACTCTGCACTGTTCAAATTAACACGGAAGAAAAAATAAATTACTCGACTCTGAAATTTCTAAAATAGACGTATAATAGAATAGAATATAAACTAAAAATTTCAGATGATTCTCTCCTGCGCCGCCGAGGAATCGAATCCAGTGATCTCTCGGGACTACCAATTGCTGCGCAGAATGATCGACACCGAAGAAAACTTCATCGAGGTAGTCGCTTTGGGCGAAGATCTAGCCATGGAAGTGATAAGGTAGAAAAACAGAAGATCCTCGAGAACATTCCCACTACCCTTTCACGAATCATTCTCCCGCAGAATGTGGATGAAGACAGCTCACAGAGATCTGAACAACTATCAATGGCGACTCGTGGCGAACGCTATATCCAAGTGTTCCTTGCCGATCTTCGTGAAACTGGTCTTCGCGGAGATCTACAGATGGAGAAGCTACACCAAACCAGCGGACACTCATTTAACGTGCACAGTGATGGACAGTATAATGATGTTGTTCGAAAGAATCGAGAAGCAACACGGGAAGATTCTGGTTTTCCACGCGTTGGCTTACATTACCGCGGCGAAATCTGGGTTATCCGAGTCTGAACTGGAAGATTTGATCTCTCTGGACGATAAAGTGCTGGACGATGTGTATCAGTATCATTTACCACCGGTTAGGCGAATCCCACCGTTGCTCTGGACCAGGATAAGAAACGATTTGCCGAATTATCTGAGCGAACGAGAGGCTGACGGTGTTAGCGTGCTTAATTGGTATCATAGACAGTTCAGAGACACTGCTAAGGAGAGATACTTTAAGAATATGAACATGGCTATGTACTTTCATTCGATGATCGCTGATTATTATCTTGGGATATGGGGAGGTGGACGACCGAAGCCGTTTAAGTACACCGAGATTCAGAGGCACAGGTGGGTGATTTTTTGGGGATTGACCCTTTGACTTGGGAAAGCGAGGGTGAAGCGTGGTAGAAATTTGGGGGAGAGCGTGGTGGAAATGTTGTCAGTGATAAAGATGGCTTCTAAATTTCATTTTAATTTTGAGGTAAAGAAAAATTACATTTTATATTCGAATTTTAATTGTAAGTCTTGAAAAAATCAAATTTTATTCCAGTTTTAATTTAAAGTTTGAAAGAATCAAGTTTTATTCCAAGTTGAATTTTAAATCTTCGAAGAATTAAATTTTATATTCTAATTTCAATTTGAAATCTTGAGAAAATGAAATT